CCATGCCACACTCAAAATTGCTTAAATCACCTTTCTTTCCAATTCTGACATTCAGTTTGGAGTTCAGGAGATTGTCTTGACCAGGACCACACCCTTAAATGCATTGAAGCAACTGCCATGTTTTTGGTTGATTAGATAATTGCATTAATGAGAAATTGAACAGGTGTTCCTACTGTAATAATCCTTTAGGTGAGTGTATATTTATCTAATAAGACCACTTTATTACTGTGTAATAGAAATCTCACCAGTTTCAATGCTAAAGAGTTCAAACTATGGTCAGGGAATTCCCTTTGGAGATCAACAGATCTTTAGATTGGACTTTGAAAGTTTCAGGTTACTTCTGGGAAGAGTGTGATTCTAGCAAATTTGCCAATTCTTTCCCAGAAACACCATTTAATCATCATTACCAGTGAATCATGTTTGTACTTCAAAGAATCTGTCAAGCGTCCCTAAAAAGGCAATACTCGAGTGGCACGAAAGAAATGCAAAATCAGCCCTGTTCCTAGGAATGAAATCTCGACCACAGGAAAACAACTCAACAGGTGCCAGACATTTTCATTGATCAGTTTCAACAAAGCTGCATCACTTAGGCAGCTCAGGCGGGAATGGGATACACAAATATGCAGCAGGTGCTAGACAGGAAACAATTTAGGCCGGCAGTGAGCACGCACACCAAAGCAGTGACACATCAGAGACAAACTCTGACTCACATACCTGTCAGCACCAGCTTAGTTCCATTCAATTTGATCTACATTACAAGCCAGCCATCCCAAAACAGCTAGCTCAAAGCTCTTTATAAATACTTATACTGTTTAAACATTTCCAGGTATTTTTTGTCTGGTGGTCTCACACTAGGAAACTTCGTGACCCTAGTGATGTTTCAGGGACAGCACTTGTGCCACTGGACACAGACCAACGGGACCAAGGCTGGCACTCTTCCGATGACTGAGTGAGCGTTGGCATCAGGATCTGTACATACCTCTGCTGCAGAAAGTCTCTTGTCCCCACTTTCGCTCCCGATGCCAGAATCTGGTCCATGACTTTTACTGGGGTAAAAATCCTCCGTACTGAAGAGAACAAGAAATAAGGACATGTTCACCCTGCAAACGGAACTGGGTTTGACCAGTTTTATTGGCAAAACATACACAGCAATGAAACATACTGCATCTTCCCTTGAAGAATTACTATACTGACCCACAATTAAGGGCATAATGAAACGGTTATATAAAAACGGTTAAAGGCACACTAAGCTGGATTAGGTCCCAAAGCATTACTATTGAAACAAACTAGCAGAATGAAATGAAATGAAATTAAAATGTAATAACATTCAAATCACATGCTGAATGAGCAAACATAATAACAATAACAGATACTTTATTGACTCCCATGGGGAAATTCTCTTTACACCTCCCTCAACTTGCTCTTTGAAGAGTAAGTTGCCCGCGAAGGCCAGCCACCTGTTGGGGCGCACAGGGAGCTGGGGGTTAAGGGCCTTGCTCAAGGACCTGCAGACGTGCTGAGGCTGGGTTTGAACCGGCGACCTTCTGATTACAAGCACACAGGCTTAGCCCACTGAGTCACACACTAGCCCAGGTCTGTTACCCAGAGCATTCCCAAAACTGAAAGTGGATACCAGACTGATTTACTGTAAGCACTGCAGCTTTCTGACTCATACTTTATTGTAGTATGAAATCTTGGAACTCTGGAAAAAGTACAGAAGTTGTTGGTACAGTATACACAATTTTGTTTATCTCGTGCTTTACATCACTAAGGTAATCTAACGTTCAACCAGTATGAGGCGCCAACAGGATGCTATGCGTCATTATGATCAGTCTGCAGACAGGGATGTGCTTCAGTGAAGTTACCCTTATTCAATGTGCCGTGTTGGCCCAAGTATAAGACGTGTTTTTTTTTTTCCTCAAAATATGTCTGAAAAAGTGATGTCGTCTTATATTCAGGGTCTAGACAAAGAAAGAGAATGGATGGCGCGAAAAATGTTACTTTGTAACGAGTGTTTTGATCCATAATATAGATTAGAGATTTCTTGTGTGAGTATAAGAGTCAAAAAGCGAGACTGTCACGCCAGATGCGTGAGAGCTGGCAGCCCCGGCAATGCGTGTGTTTAGCGTGTATCCCTGAGTGTCACGCCAGATGCGTGAGAGCTGGCAGCCCCGGCAATGCGTGTGTTTAGCGTGTATCCCTGAGTGTCACGCCAGATGCGTGAGAGCTGGCAGCCCCGGCAATGCGTGTGTTTAGCGTGTATCCCTGAGTGTCACGCCAGATGCGTGAGAGCTGGCAGCCCCGGCAATGCGTGTGTTTAGCGTGTATCCCTGA